TCCCATTAATGATGGGGGAATCATTTTTCGCTGCAGTCCAATGCCTGTCTCTTATACACATCTAGATGTGTATAAGAGACAGGCTTGAGACTATGCGGAACTCCTTATCAAAAATCAAAACCCACATACTTCTTCTTCTCTTTATTCAGTGTGATAGGCCTCAGGCCCTTTTACAGTATAAATAAATATATATTTTTAGTGCTTTAAATAAGGCGAGCTTATGATAATGTTTTAGATTTTATCATAATAGTAACTTTCATTAGTAAACTCAATAAAATTCTCCAAGATTCATTTTAAATAGTTGGCCTGGGATCTCTAACTACATGATTTTTGTTTTAGCCCACTTTTGTAGGCCTACACAATAAAACGGCAATGAAAAAATCTTCCTAATTTCACGGAACTCCATCTCCCGCGGGGGGGGGGGTGATTCGGACAAACACCCGGAAACCCCCCCCCCCACTAAATACGGGCCTGCTTAGCCTGACCATGGCTTTATGCCAAACATAGTCATAAAGGCCTACTCTCTTTAATCTATTCGAAATTTTTTTTAAAGCAGGGACAAATTTCCTATCAACGTGTAGGTGTGTACTTTCAGGACTACCTTCATCAAACCCCAGTCAACAAGACCCAAACGAACACTTAGGGAAGGCCTATTGAATTCATGTGGTGCGCAGTTATACCTTTAGGAAAACTGTACATCAATCTTTATAAGGCTTTGTCGTACAGGCTTCAGTTCTTTTTCTTTAAATTATTCATCTTACTGAATAGGCTACCTCCAATGGGGTTTACCTTCTGGCCCATGACAAACCGTTCGTACAGCTCGCACAACCTGTCATCGTCGGTGCCTGCACCCTTTGTCGGGCTGCAAAACACTACTAAAGAGAGGCTTGCACGTAACTGTCTATCGTTTATATTAATTATACTTATTAATAGAAGAAAAGAATTCTAGAACCTACTGGTCAGTTTGTTTGTAATTTTACCTTTTTAATATTAAGTATATTTGAATAAACTCATTATTATCAAGTGTTATTTTTTATCTAAAGATAAAACTTAGTTTAGTTTTAGTATAGTGGCGTGATGTTTAAAGCCAAACGATTGGTCAGATTTCTCGTCCAATAGACGTGTCTGTTAAGTTTTGGACGACCAAGCGACTGTTACAAATTGGTTATTATACCGCTACACATAGTTTGTTTATGTATTTTAACGCGATTTATTTGTATGACCCCGGCCACCCTTTAATTCGTGAAAATAGGTTCATGACCTTTTTGTTGTCTATTTAATGTCAAAACTTGGCAAGATCGTGACTGTTATGTTTTGTAGCAAATTTCAAAATAGTCCAGTTGGCTGAACTGTCATAGCATATACATGTTTATACATCATGTATTTCAGAAGCGTCGAAAGTAATGATTGATTTACATATTTTGCGAGAAAGTTTGAATGTTTTCAACTATATATAATAATTTGTACGGAAATTTATTTTCTTTTTTCCATTCCTCTTATTATTCTGTAAGCACTATTTGTTTCTAGAGGAGACTTGATTTCCACCTGATAGGGTTATAACTCATAGGGGTTAGTTAACGGGAAAATATTTATACTGTGCCCTATTTACTTTCGTAATCCATCATAGGATGAATCTGTAAAAAAACAAACATCAATATGTTGGTGATAATGTTTATTGTTTATTAAAGTAGTAATAAATAAAAAGAGAATTTCAACTTTGTTATGTTTGATTTATATCACAGATATTGTCATTCATCATCTATGCAGTTTAGTTCGTTTTCCTTAAAACGCTGAAATGCCTTCAAAAATCAAGAAATAAATGAGATATTTGCCACTTCACACCTTATTCAATCGAAGAGAAATCCCGTAAAATAAAAAGTACCGTTATTTAGATAAATGTAATTTTATATAATACATTATATTTATTATAATGTGCTGCATTAAGTACAAACGTGGGAATCGATACGTAATTTAGACTATTACACGTATTAACCTGACTCTCCCATAACCAGTGAGTATAATGTATTTATTTACTTTTCTGAGCAGTCATACAACTCTCTTTATTTTGGCACTACTGGCTACCAGTACGTGTCGATAAACTTTCTCTCCTTTAAACAAACATCAAATAATGTACGTCTTCTATCATTACTTCGGGTGCACTCCAACCTAAATTGGAGCACTCTTGCCCAACGGTGTTTTACAGCGATCTATCGTAACTATATCAAATATGTAAGTGCGTCCTGTTCCAAGTGAATACCAATTTATGTAAATAATTATCTTAGGCAAAACCCCCACAACGCACCCGAGTAGCTGGTAGCGGGACAGCCAGGGCATCTTTCTTTTCGGACCACTGGAGAGCAAAAGGAATGCGTTCTGCCCTTGTTTTACGTGACTTTATAAATCAGTAATTACAAAATGGTATTAAAATATAATGATATGATTGACATGTGCTGTTGCATGCATTCTGTAAAGGCCTATCCTGTTACTCTGTGAGTCATATTCTACCAGTTTTCAATCACAATGTGTATACAGATTAAAATAATTTTTTTACAAATATATTTAATTATTATTATTTTCACGAACTACTACAACTTAGTACTACCAGTTAGTAGGGCTACAGTAAAATATATTATGCTGTAACATATTTACATACGCGGTGCACCTCCACACCCTTAGTTTCATTGTATTAGTTCCATCACTCTGAGACTGTTACCACCTATGTTATCATAAGCCCAAATATTCACGATCTTTAACATACTCATGAGATGAGAATGCAGGAGCGTGCATAGTCGACCATCTAGGACACAACATTTTCCTTGAGGAAGGCCCAACCCCCTCCCTCCTCCAAATTATATAACACACATCTCTTATACACATCT